GTATTATACTCTTTAAATAACATCTCCAAACCCTAATCTTCCCGATTACTGCTTATACTCTTATTACCTCTACCACTACGGGATTGAATCGACAACTGCATCTCTGTGCTAATGTGGTGTGGCAACTCGAACTGATGTACGTACGTACGAAGTTCTACGTTGTTACTGACTGACTGACTGAACTCGTATTAAAATATATCAAAGCACAAACTCTGTGTTCAGTTAAAGCAGTTCTAAATTAGGATAGAAAATAAATAATATCAAAAGTACTAAACACCTCAAACGTTACACCCTGTGCTGACAATCAATAAAAAAATATTTCCAAAAAAGATGAGATCAGATATCTATCTGCAAAAAATGCACTAACCTTTCCAAGCAGACAGTCAAAGGTTGACAATTATATACTGAACCACGCCATGACCTTGGGTTTAGTCAAACACAACCTTATTGTTAATAGTCCGGTAACATACAACAGTAAGATGAAGTAATTAAACCTAAATCTTTAAAGAGAGCAAGAACAAAGGTTGGTGCAGAATAATATGAATTCATTTTACTTCATTAGGTTCTCATCAGCTGCTTACAACCTAAAATATTTGAAATTCAACGTCATTATAGATATTGACATACTTATACATCAGAGGGTGATGAAGGATGAATATATGTAACATGATGTAGCAAAGATTTCGTTAGAGTTAATAAGGTCATAAAATTTTTGTTTCGAATATATAGAGTTTGGGAGGGAAGGTTCCAGAACATTGAAATAGTGATTAGAAATCATGGAATTAAAACACATTAGATTATTATGCAATAAAATAACTGAAAATAGATTAATGGTAATAAAGAGAGATATGAATTGAAATTGGTCAGTTATGAATTATGTAACTTTAAAATTCGGAAAGAGTTGGAATAGTGAATGACGTAATAAATAAATAAATAAAAATAAAGAAGGGGGGTAATGTTACCAGGGCAAAGAAAGATTTATTACTGTTTCTTTTTGTATACAAAGATCTGGTTTTAAACGTTTGATTGCTATCACTTCGGCAAATTTAAAAAGGTTTGAATTTGATTGTTTGTTGATCACATTGAAGGACTGCAGTATATCGACTTCGTGTCCTGTGTCAAGGAGATGTCTTGCAATGGCACTGCTGAATGCTTTTTTTCCGTTTGATCTCAAACCCTTCGGAATATGTTCTTTGAATCGAACTTAGGCTCTCCTTTCTGTTCTACCAATGTAACTGCTTTGGCAGATACATGTAAATTTGTATACACAGTTGGTGGTATTATGAAAGGGATACCTGTCGACCTTTGATTGTGTCAAGGAACATGTTATTTTGGACAGGACAATCAATTTAGCTGCAGGATATGTTTTTGTCAATGCAGTTTTTACTCTCATATTGATTGACCCTGTGACATTATCACCTTTGAATTTGAGTTGAATAAAAACAGGTTTTTTATTTACTGTAGTTTCTTTGTGTATTTTATCTCCACGTTTTCCATATTTCTCAATAAATTTCAATGGGTATCCGTTATTCTTTAAACACTTTTTAACATTCATAACTTCCTCTTCTATTGTATCGGTAGTACATATTCTTTCTGTTCTGTGAAACAATGTTTTGACAAGTGCCTTTTTATAATTGATTGGACAAAAGCTGTTGAAACTGAGATAACTACCATTCCATGTGTCTTTTTTATGAACCGAGCGTTGAACTGTACCATCCTTTCTTCGTTTCATCGCGATATAGAGAAAAATGGAACTTGTTTTCTTTTTCATGTTCCATAGTGAAACGAATATTTGGATGAGCTTCATTGAAAAATTTTAGCAGATTTGTTGCGTGTTGTTGATTACTACATACGATGAAGGTATCATCAACATCCTCGAATGATACATCATTTCATCAATCGCTCCTTTGAGCTTGGTTCTTTCGAGGTTAGCCATAAAAACATCTGCTAGGACAGGGCCTAACGGACTTCCCATTGCTACACCATCGGTTTGTCGGTATATAGTATTGTTGAATTGGAACTGAACATCTTTCGTACACATGAGTAATAGCCGTTTGAATTCTATTGCTGGTAGCGGTAGGATGTCAGGATGCTGACAAATTATGTCTATGGTTTCAAGAAGTGGTATTTTTGTAAACAATGATGTCACATCAAAAGAAACTATAAACTTACCAGCAATGTTTATGTAATTCAAGCTGTCAGCAAATGCAAATGAATCCTTTAGTGTATAGGTGGCTAATCGTTGACGAAGTGGTCCTAATTTATCTGCCAGCCATCGCGTAACTTTGTGGTATGGTAAATCTTTAATCAAAGTCAAAAATCAAAGCCAAGACAAGGAAGACTGAAGAACATAAAGTGTAGCTAAAAGAGATCTGGATAAAGGTTAGAATACATGACAAGAAAAAGGGACGAAAATGCTTTGGAGAGACTTTCGGTGTGTTCTTTCCGTTACTCTGGCTACCCAAATCCCTCCAGCTACGTAAAGACGTCTCTGAAAAGTCAAGCACTGCTTTCCTAGCTAACTACTCTGTGTCAATCGGAAGCACAGGACTTACAACAATATGCCTATAAAAGCCGAAGCATTCGAAGGCTTTAGTGACTGACCAACTACTCTACCTTCATCAACGTACTTATAACCGATTTCTATGTCACTGACAGTGCCTTATGTGATGGGCAGTGATTATATCCTACTGGTATCATATGTGCAAGGGATAATAATACTGGCCCCAGCATCTAGTTTATAATCAATCTTCACTTTAGCCTCTGATGAAAAACTTTTATCATCCATTACAACTAAAGGGGCTATTTTCGCTATATTACGTTCAACATCGGTTTGAAAGATATGGTTTACTATATTCTGACTACGCTTTTGCGGAATGCTGAGCTCAAAAGAATCAAGTACTTTCTTTCTGTCACAATGATTATGATTGAAACCATGAGGCTATCTAAGTTAGATCACCATTAGAAACTTGGAAGCACTGGGAGACTGGTTCGTTCTAGTATGGTACTCCTCAGTAGTTCGATTCCCGGACGCGAGGTAGTGGATGGGCATTACTGAGGGGTCTCATACTAGGAAGAGACGGCTATCTAGTGCTCCCAGCCTTTGAATGATTGTGTAAATTCAACTGGTTCATGACTCTAATGAAATTTAACAATCTCGACAACCCCTTACTGGAAACTATGATTATAAATAGAATGAACAGATATCAATAGCCATCTTGAGAACATATAGCAAATCACTAAATCGAATTGAGTAAAAATCGGTTTACAACCAATAGAAACATAATCAATATGTTGAATATCATCCTTGAGATAGACTACATTTTTCACTGTAACTAATGATGATAATTGATAAGAATATTAACTGACATCCCATTGTAAAAGATAGCTGTTACGTTTTCAACTTAGTCTTTAGAAAAACCAAGAGATTAACTCAATATAATCTCTACTATCAAAATAGAAATTTATGATTTATGGTCTATGTTGTAAGAAGTCAACAAGAACAGTGCGAAGTGGTTTTGATCCATTAATTTCTCTTCTTCTAAATGGCAGAACCTAATATTTGGTTGAAACATGAACATTAAAAATTCTTACCACGTTTTTGACGAACCAACTATTCTGCCAATCACCAACAAACATTTAAGAATTCATTGTCACAATGGTAAAAAACTCACAGTTTTAACTAAACTATCCAGATATTACGTAATACTTTCTGTTAACTAATGTAAATATATTCAAGGTGAAGTTTAAGTGTTTCAGATTAGATCTTTACAAGGACTGAAAAGAAAAATTGCTCTATTAAATGTCATAATAATAATTACGATGGTAAACTATTGTAGTTGTTTACACATACTCATTCTTTTCTAAGAAGAATTTTGCTTGATTTCAACAGTACAATCAATTGAATAAACTAGATGAATTATATTTAAAAACTAAAAGAAGTATTGATATGAAGTGTGGATTTATAATTTGTCGATCATTTAATCATAAATCTATGTACGTTACATTTACTTATTTCTATCTGAAAACGTAAATAAAACTATTAGCCTATTTTTACACGTACAATAGTTTTGTTAAAATTTATCTCTCATTTAAATGAACTATTTATTATCATTAATATTTGTGTTTGTAATGTAAACTAAAACAACAAAATACAGATTGATTGTCATAACACTATGACACAGTTCATTAATATTTCAGTAGGCAGACGTAAAGAACATTGAAACATATTTAAACAGTGATTAAATCTTACTATTTAATACAATTACTACTACTACTACTACTACCCACTAGAAATATTCACATTGATAATAACAGCTATATAAAATAAACAGTGAAAATAACCAGAAGAACAACAAAGACAAAATAAACTAGTAAGACTATAAGCTAAACAATACGATTAGCACACTTATATACACAAATAATAATAACCGATGGAAAATTTAGTAAAATAATGAAGTTTATGTTGTAAAAGTCCATCTTATTATTACTGTCGATAATATAAAACCAAGAAAAAAAAGAAGAACAAAACACAACTACAATAACAAATAATCAATAAAGAGAGAACATAAAAATAAGAACTGATGTTCAATATTCGAATCCGTTTGAATGTCATATTGATTTTTAAGTCAAGTTTATGTTTATATGGATATTTATGAAGTAAACGCTCACTTTAAAATTTATGAATAAAAATTCCGTAAATATATATATTGTAATTATTTGAAGAAAAGAACACATATATTTACAGGCATAGTGTGAGGTAGAATTCATACATAGTTTTTCTTGATTGTTCTTTAAGAGAAAAAAAAAGAAAAAGAAGGAACCATAATCAAACAAATTCTGTATTCATATGTTTAAATATTCACTAAACAAACTAGTTATAGTAAAAAAGAACTACTGTTCATGATTTGAGTAGTAGTATAGTTTGTGATATCCACAATGGTAAATTCTCATTAATCAACATGATAGTAACACAACATCAACAGTTGCATTAAAAGAAACACACACACACATAAATAACTGTAATCAATAAAAAATAGATGTGAAACAAACAAATAAATGGAACTAAACGAACAACATCAAAACAGAATGTTCTTTTTTCTTCTGTTTTTACTCAACATAAAACTATAGAATAATAGTAATTTCTGTAGACTATCCAATGTCATGATAATCTATGATCGTTTCATCACTGTATACATACTGAATGAATAATAATAAATTCTTAGTTATATATTGGAATGTAATAATAGAAATGCTAATTGTAAATTTCTTTACAATAAAACAAAGAAATCCATGTAAATTGACTTGATTATTATTATTATTAGAATTGTGATTAAACTTTATCATTATTACTATTCATATTGCTTAATAATTCTAAATAAGCTGGAATAAATTCTGCATAATATTGACTTTCTTTTAAATAACGTAATATATGCGGTGGTAATGGTAATAAATCAATATGATCATGTCGAACATGTAATAGCAATTCAAAACGACATAAATGTACTAATGATGGAACAATTAAAAAACGTGACAATGGATGAATTAAAGAAGCTTTAATATGTGTAGTAGAGGTAGAACGGCGTGTGGATTCGAATGGTTGTGATGTATTATTATTATTATTAAATTGTTGAAGTTGCCGATGTTGGTCAGATTGATGTTGATCATTATTAATAAACTGTACACTGGTATTAATATTAATAGATGGTGAAGAGTCATCAAGAGTTGGTAAAAAATGCATACGATCTTGAAAAGAATCAACCATTACACGTTCAATACATTCAGCTACACTTGATGAAACATTGTCATTTAAATCATTTAACAGAGCCAGGCTAAATTTACCTGTAATTATAAATGAACAAATAACATAGGATAACTATTGTAATAAAATGAATATTTTAAAAATATTTCAGATAGGAAGTTTCTAAAGATTATTAAATTTTCAGTTTACATCATAAACTAATCTTAGCTAGAAAACCGTTGGAAACTAGGAAGTATTGAACGTGCAGTAACGTGAAATGGTAACGGTATGGTAGTCTAGATATTAAGAGCACACAATGAGACTGAATGTTCTGGGTCAGCCCGTTATGGCAGGGTCGTGGATGTGCACTGCTGAGAAATCTCATATTAAGATGAAACAGCTTTCCATTGATTCCTGGATCTCAATGGTCGTCTAATTAAAAGCATTCTGTGACGTAACATGTGAAATTAGAATCTCAGTAAAATAAACAACTTCATGATTAACATTTATATCAGTGTTGATTGGTGAATAAACTTTACCAGACTATTGAACATCTAGGTTTATACTTTATTATCCGAATTTTCAAAAGTTATCTGATATTGTAATGAAACCTCAGAGACTCGAAATACAGTTCTTCAGTAAGGCAGTAAAAGATACTTAATTTAGTGAATTAAAATTCGATCAATACTAACCACTACAGAAAAAGACTGACTAATTGGTTGCTTGTATACATCAAACCTTACCGCAAAAGACTTGTCTTGTCATGGTAATTGCAGCGTTAATACTTCAAACCATAACATTTAATGACACTTTTACATTTGCAATAAGCCTTTTATGCCTTTTAAGACAATATATAAGACTCGTTATTTGTGCGTTGAACACAAATTTTCTGAAGTGTAAGGCTTTCCATTAGCAATATAGACAGGACCAATATCAAATAAAATTTACTGTTCTTTTGGTTTAAATTCCTGTTTTTAGTTGTTGATACCACTCGAAAAGTAAGACTGTAATTAGAGTCTGCCAGTTTATGTCTGCTCGTTTATACTACTTACTAATATTTAGTAACTTATATCGTCCTCAATCACTTTTAGGCGCTTGACGATGAATCTTCCCCGTTAATATATGGTTTTACTAAGTATTTCTACGAAAATGTGATGTTTGATCTATTTACTGTTGTAATTATATTTAATTAACACCCTTAGCCGTTTGTATTCATTTCTTTTGTTTTCATTAAACATTTGGTTATTTGTAACAGTGCACATACTTGTTGAGCACATTTATCGTTTCAATTTGTTAGTTGATGAATTGCCCGAGCTACTGGTTGTTTCTTAGTCAACCAAATGCTTTTTGTAAATAATTCCTATATAAATATCACAGAAGGTACTTCTTCTTTGTCCGTACCTTGATATGTGTAAATATCTTCAATAGCTCACAAATTGGCGCTTGTGAAAATGCACTGCATCATTAGTAACAATACCATGTCATAGACAAATCTTGCATTTTGATTCCAGGATTTCACAATTTCATCAATCACTTAGTCTGGAACTACGAGCCGTTTTAACATCATATAAGATGGGACAGGAAGAATATATATATATATATATATATATATATATATATATATATATATATATATATATATATATATATATATATATATATATATATATATAAAGTTCTCTTGATTAGATTGTAATAGGATATCTTCGAGATAATTCCTATATTTAGTATATCATTCGTTCCGATAATCATTATTAAATAACTACCCGAGGTGTATAAATTCAAAAGACAGTATCAAGAGACGACTACAGTTTGCCATCGTATAGGACCGATAACAAGACCATCAAATACACGAAGAGAAAACATAAAATGAGAATGCAGGAGAATTTATAAAAGAATGGGTTTTAAGATGCACATATATATTAGAAAGCGAACGAGTTATCGAATTATTTAGTTAATTAACATCTAAGCCAGCAAGGCCTATATACGTGCGGGCTGTAATGTGTGATCTATCCATAAATGATCATACAAACATGATAGCAATAACGTAAAGATATAGACAAATTGTTACCGACCGGACGATATCGTTTATTAGATAAGTTAATTAAAAAGCCTAATAGATTTAAATGCATACAAACTCAAGTATAATTGAGAGTGTTATAAGATAAGATTTAATATGTAAGGTATTTAACAACTATTTTTATTGTACCGATTCCTACTGTTAAGATAACTTACCAGCCAGATGTTCAATCCTTGTATGATAAATTTGACCACCAGAGCGAAAACTGACACTTAAAATATATGAATCATGACTACTGTCACGTACAAGAAAAGTTCCATCTGTGCAGTTTTTCAATAGCAATTCAGCTTCATCCACTGTCAATGGACCCCAGTACCAACCAATCTTTAATAGAAAAACATTTAATGTTGTTTATTGCACTACTTATGAGTAGTATAAAAAGATTTGTAAAACGTTTGAATAAAAACTTAGAAATCCAATTGAAAATTGAAAAATTCAACTTGTTTCTTATTGGTAAGAAGTAAATAGTACAATATGGATGTCTAGAGAAGCGGATAATTTATTTGGTTCGTGTACTTAAAATATGAATAACAGAAAATCTGTGTAAACGTCTTGAAATATAACAAAATGAAACCCGAGCATTCTTCGCTTTGTTGACTCAAGTACATTTTTACGTAGCATTCATATTGCAATTATAAAATTCCATTGAGATAAACTCATCTAGAATAAAGCAAATTCATCGATATCAATGAGAAGATACAAACTACAAACCAAATTCAGCCTGAGAGTTGGAGATTTAAATAAGATATATGAAACTTGACAAATCACAAAAGTTCTTATAGTACAAAGTGATAATAGTCGGATAGCTCCTTAAATTATTTTAATTTTACTAACTCTTTGTAGAGGTCCCTAAAACCCTTTAGAATTAATCAATATAAAGTACTTGAACCAAAATTCATAAAGAATTTTCTCACTTATTCAATAAGTATGGAAAAATGGTTAAAGAGAGGAAACATTTTACTAAGCTTATTAATTTGAAATAATCCTACATATCTTTAAATGAAAAAGAAAAAAACCCAGTGTATATGTACATTAGTGTAAGTTCTTAAATCGAATGTAATACAAGTGATTATAAGCATTGGTTAATACTTAAAAGTAATTTAAATGTGAAAACCAATTGAATTTAATTGATAATCCCTTGAAGATTATAATCCACAATCACATAGTACTAAATATTTTATTTTTACAGAACAATTTAATTTGGATTGTCAAATAATATCTAAACTGATAAATAAAGCGGTATATTATCCAAAATAAAATTATCATTATTATGATCTCCCAGTTAATTAGCATCATTTCTAATATGATCATAACTGAAATTTACATTACAGTGATTAACAAAAAAAAACTTAGGAATACCATTATTGAGATCTTTTCTTTACTATAATCTCGAAAAAACAACCAACATTAGCTGAGTTTGTTATATCTGAATGAAGAATAAATGAATGGTAACCGCTAGGAATTATTTGTGAATTATTATTACACAGATTCTCAATGGATAATTACTAGGTGACTAGATTATACGTATAATCATACTCTTCTTGTCATTAGCATTCATTTGACTTATTGGCTACTGTTACACAATTTACCCTGCTTAATTTATTACCAGTTTATTAGTTACAGTATCCCATACAACCACTTTTGACTTGATCTTATATAATAATTTTTTTAATTTTATGGTGTGATGCAGTCTGGTCGGCTTGTATATAAAGCACATATGTCTCAGATATACAATTCACACACTGGAGGCTGATATTTGTGTTCTGGAATAAACAAGATGGGCTAGGTGAGTTGTTATACAGAAGACTAATGAGTTAACTTAAGGCTGATGGTGCTGTTTGACACACCACTGATGTAGCACAGGGACAAGGTCATAGAAATTCATATTTTGATTGGCGATTTTGTCACATGATACTTGACGGGTCATAGGATATAACAAAGCTGAACAATAAGAGCGGGGAGGTAGTGAATGCACAAATAGTTTGAACGTCACGGCGCATCATATTTAGATTGGAAATGTCGTTTACGGATGGTGAAGTAAATAACTTAACGAGGGTATTTCTCCCGGTTAACTCCATCCTGAAAAGATTCACTCAAAAAATATTATAGCATATTTAAAAAAATTAGGATGTACAGTTCAGGGTTTGGCAAAACCAATAACAATTTTTAAGACCTAAACCGTCAATTATGAGGTGTAGATCTTAATTCTAACTCTAGTACCTGAACTACATATCATAATCTTAACCCCAAATAATTATCCTCTTAGGCCTCAATAACAAGTCTGAATCCCAATCATGGCATTATAAAACCCTCATCCATTCGTTGTATTCTGATTGGCTGAACGTATTAACAGCCTGCCAAACTCATTCCCCGATTCTCTCAAGCTCGTCCTTGTATTTCAACTCTAACCCAACATATAGAAAATAGTTAAATCTTGAATAGTGAATATATTCAATTATTATTTATAAATAACTTACGCGTTTTAAAAGTATCAAATCTGTTACAAACTTTTGATGAAGAAATGTATTAGCAGTAGTAGTAGCAATATCAGGTTTTGAAATATTCGTCGAATGTACTTTTTCATCAAAAGATTTACCATTAACTAAATTTGAACATATAATTTCTGAGTTTGCACATTTAACAATTTTGTCACCTTCATTCATATGCTCAACAACGTCATGCTCAAGATTTTGTACAAGCGTTTGATTATGATGTTGATGATAATCTATGAAACATGATGAGATATTTCTTGTATTGATTGAATGCTCATTATCTATTGTATTATTATTATTATTATTATTATTATTATTATTATTATTATTATTATCTACACTTGTTACATTGCCAATATTATCGTCCAATCTATTTGAATGTTTTTCTGTAAAATTTAAACACTGTAAAGTGATAACAGGTGATGAACAATCAATTTTTTTATTATCCGATGGAGATATTTTCCTACAATCAGATCTCATTTGATCTAGTTGACCAATAGTAGTATATTGGTTTTCTAAATTCAAATGAAAATTTCTTACAGCTTTATTTTGTTTTGGATAATTTGTACAATATGTATTTGTTGTGTGTTGATTATTCGTGAAGTTTATATGACGTTGATTGAAATCATGACTTAAATGATGATGATGATGATGTTGTAGTCGACGGTGATGATGATGATGATAATGGTGATGATGTTGACAAGAATAATAATGGTGGTAATACTGTTGTTTTAGATCATGATGATGTGATGATTGTACAATTCGATCATCTTGTTCATATTGATTATTAGAAGAAAATGAAACTAACCGATTATGATCACAGTAATTGAGGTATCTTTGACAAAAACAACAATCAGATACACATGATGTAAATGATATCTCATTATCAAGATGTAGTTCATTTAATTGATGTGAATTTATTGGACAACTTTGAGTACAAAAACAATTTATATCACTATATTTTGGAGAGATTTCATGAAATTTACTGTATGTTAAATCATTGAGAGACATAATTGAACTGCAAGAATTATTATTGGAAACTATAGGAGATTGATCAGTATGACAAAAACCTATTAAATTTTCAACTGATTTCTCATTAGATATTAATGATGATGAAAAGAATGGTAAACTTCCCTTTTTCAAATTGTTTATACATTCAATATTTGATCTGAATAATAAAATAAAAATATAAGAGACGAACTATATTTATTAAGTGTTAGTTTGAACAATTTCAGCAGTTACATTTTAGTCGAATTTTAGAAGTACTTTAAAAGAAGAAACAGTTGGTAATAAATATTAAGTTGTAATTATATGTATACCCAGTAGATAACAGATTCGAACTTCAATCTACTTATTACTATTTGAACTGTGAAACAAGATCACTAGTCTCTATATAAACATTGGGACTTTAAGCTCAGTACATTAACTTGCATTGATTATGATCTTGGTGATTAATTATTTAAACTATAAATTTTGTAAGAGGGTTTTGTAATATTATCTAGTTGACCAAAAGTTCAATGATTGGTAGTTAATTACCACAGCCAACTATTAAACGACTAATTTATTTAATAGCCTACTTCTATTGTGATATGAAAAACATGTATATTAAATTTATTTCATTAACACTTGAATCATTTAGAATTCCGTTCAACTGTCATCATGAATGAATGATAAATACTAGCTTTTTAACTCACCACACGTAAGTTGCTATTATTTGATCACAGATGTCTTAGAAATATAGCTCGCATCTACTGGGATCACCGGTTAAATAATAGTGAGATTAAGCGCAGGGTATTAGGGAATAATGGTCGTAAATCGTCACCGACTGAGATGGTTGGGCTACATGTTACGCATGCCTGAACACCGATTACCACGACGCTCAATGCTGACTAGTGTTGAAGACGGTTGACAGAAAGGGGCGGCCAAACTAAAACGTGGCATCAGTCCTTGAAGTTACTAACTTCTGGTCTGAGCAATGTTGGTAGTTGCAGACTACTAGGTTGGGATCCGCGCGACTATCTTAAACAATGGTTGGAAACTCTGGGTGACATGGATGAGGATCGATCACAATGGCGTAGGTGTATACACTTTGTCTTCTCTTAAACCGTGAGATTAGAATAACTTTATCTTTCTACGAACCACTTCTTTCTCTCTGCATTATTTCCTCATATGCAATCTTTATTGGGGACCGCGTGACTATAGTAACCAATGATTGGAGACTCTGTGTGATATGGCTCAGAACTGGTCACAATGGCTTCGGTGTATACACTCTCTGTCTTCCCTCAAACCGTGAGATTAAAATTATTTTATTCCCTTCTTCCTACGAACTGATTCTTTTTTCCTGTATTATATACTTATATGCAATCTTCCTTTTATATATTGCCACCACTGAAGTGACTACTTGAATGAATTTGGCATTCATTTTGTTGTGCAAATTAGGTGTTGCATCTTGGACCGATGTATATATGTGTCTGATACTACGTTGTAGCTGAATGACTGACTGATTAAAAGACAAACTGTTAATCCAGTTTGATCAGTCATCTATTTTATTGTCTTTTTTCAGAAAATCAACTTAAAAATGGTATAAGTAATTATTCTTTCCTAGTAAATGATGTAAAGTAAGTTGATTGTGACTTTTCCAATAAAACTAAACACATTATATAATAATAGGTGATGAATTATTCGCATTAATCAACAAAACCGTTTATTTCTATATGTATATTTTCATAACTCCTACTACATAGTAGTAGTAATATCTCTGTCATTATTCTCAAAAATTTAATTCTATCGATATTTCATCGTTCACTTTTTGATGTGGCTACTGGTCTAAGTGATTTCACAACGCATACACTGTGATGAAATATTATCATTATTAGTGGCTTTATTCAATATTATATTTTTGGTACAATACAGAATTCTCAGTAAAAATTATTTCAACAATTTTCCTATGCTTATTTCTTCATCGATTCTGACGATAAATATTGAGTGATTGCCAGTTAGATGCTAGCAATCGAGAACTCAATAACGTTCATTCTTTTCAATGCCTATTGTCAGCCACCACTACGTCTTGTATATCGAAAGATCGTGGAATTTTCATAAACACTTCCGCATAAGTTATGCGATTAGTAGACATAATGATGTGTTAATATAAACAAAAACTGATAACTTGTTGAAATATGTAGATGGCAGGAACAGGTACTCCAGATATCCATGCAGGCCTCCAAAGTTAATTGAAAGTAGTTGACAGGATACTCTGAACTTAAATTTTGTGCTATATAGCTTTCACCTAGATTCAAGGTTTACAGTTTACTACCCTCAATGACTTAACATCTCAAACAAGAAGAGAATTTATTTTTTACTGTCAGTAAAGAGTCCCAAAACTTTTTGTTTTTAATTTGTACTCTGAAAGATGGTCCAGGATAGATCTAAGAGAATAGTCCACAAATTTAAATTAGTTGATGGGGATTCCATATAGTAAGAACTTCTACTTTGTAAATAAATACATGACTTATATGTGCATGTGGACTGAATACATAACCTTCATTCAGACTATTTAAGCTCATATTTTTCTTATCTCATGACTTTTAAAAGATGAGATGATCAAATATTATTGAATAACCTCTTTCTAAGTATCATAAGTAAAACATGAATATAAAATTGATATTTCTCAACAACTTGATAATGTCATAAATAGATATCTGTCTTGTCTTCATGAATTTGATTATCCTCTTCTGTCAACTATAATAAGATTATTTATTATTATTATTATCTTATTTGTACTTCATTGGAAGATGAGTTATCAATTTCATTTACACTATCTATTTCTTTCTCTTTATGTCATTATCTATATTATCTAGTTGACACTTTTCAAATCAATGATAGTCAAATTTATTAGTTTCTGTAAAATAGTAACCGATATTGGTTTAGGAATTTTTTAGGAAAAAATGGTTTGTCATTACAGTTCATATAATGATTAATTCTTTTCTCCAAAATGTTAACATAAATTAAATGAAATAAATTTAGTTTCATACAGATGACAGCGAATAAGAAGGTTTATATAAGATACAAATAATCAATATTTTTACATTATGAATAATATTGATTAAAGGTGTTCTAGAGTTATTCTATATAAGTTTGAGCTTACATTGATGGGAAGAAGTTACCATTATGCGCATTAAAAGCCGTCCTCCAAGTGATTTCAACTATTAATTAAATAATAAGTAGTAATTCAGTATTCTAACTATTAGCTAAATGTATATGTTATACTGTTGATGAGATCAACCTTTAACTTGTAATATCCTGAGCTACTTTATCATAATTTAGTTAGTGTATACAGTATAACAACTTAATAAACAGTTTGTGATGCATAGTATAAACGACTTTTTCACCGTATCTTATTATCTTTTTGATAGTTTAGTAAGTTAGACTAACTTAATTAAGCATTCAATGATACCGTCTTTGAACTATATTCGAACAGTTCACTACCAGTTTACGGGTCAATAATTTCTAAAAACTCATGTCACAATTTCTTTTTGAATACTAAATAACTATATAAATGACATTTTTGATATCAAAAGTTCTAGTAGTAATCACACAAAATATTTCTAGTCAGTCAATCAGTTACAACGTAGAACTTGTATGTATGTACAAGTTGCCGTACCCAATTAGCACAGAGCGATGAAGTTTTCAAATCATATCCTAGAGTAGCCGAGGCAATAACGGTATCAGTGGTAATAGGAAAGATTAGATATTGAAGATACGACTCGAAATGAAAAAATAAATTAGCGAAATAGGAACAATATAGTTATGAGGGATTTAGCATCTTTAACCATAAAATAACCAATTCCACTTAAACATGTATGTCATAAACATTGGAATTTCGTATATTAAAGTCTAATGTGAAACAAATCTATTGAAATTTCTTGTAAGTTATAACTTACTCCACGTCTGCGTTTTCTATCTGTTCCAGAAGTGTATGGAGAACTAGAATTTTAAAAAAAATTAAAATAGTTTGATAATAAATTGAAACATCTATTCAATAAACATGATTCTAATAAAGATGAATAGCTGGTAACAGTTCTATTTAGAACTAGTCAGTCGGATGTGCCTGGATCTCGATATTGATTTTCATTCCGCAATCTGAACCCAGTATCTTCCACTGAGCTCTTGACTTCAAACAACCACTAGTATACGCGGTGAGAATGAATTCTATTATGCTTGTTTGAATATTGTTGGTGTTAATAATTGAATTTTGATCACTATCCTTCATCACTTGTAACTTAATGATTATAATCAGTTTATTCTCTATTATAATAAATACATTTGAATTTATCTGTTGAATTAAATCATTAAATTTATTCCACTAACTATTAAGGTTGAGTAGCTTAATATCATTTACACATAGAGAGGTTGTGAGAACTTAAAATCCTTTATTTCTACCTGTTACGATATACACTAAATTAAGGAACTGATTAGTTCAAACAACTACACTTTTAACCAGCTTCAAGAAAGAATTCATTTGATTACATTTAACAGAAACAATTGTCAATTACTACTATTAATAAATTATGTATATATGTCGCCAAGATCTTAATCTCGTCATCCAAAACTTATCAATAGTTCCAACTGGATAATGATGAGTTGACTGCTTTTGGCGAGACTATAATTTATGGACTAACCAATCAGGTTTGAGATAGCAGATCTGGGATTTGGCACGAAATTTATTCACTCATTTGGTTAAATACCATTTTGGCATTATATCATATGTCAGTTCTTGATGAAAACATTAAATCTAATTCCTAACCCTAACGTTCAACTGTAAATTTCAATCCTAATTCCTTACACTAATATATATAACCCTTATTTAACCCCAATAATAGGTGAACATTCCAAGGTCATTTTAGCGTTTATCAAAGGTCATAAATTATAGTTTAATCGTTTAAGGAGATAAATAGCTTAACCATACATTATAAAACCCTGTGACTTAAAAGCAAGTACATGAAAATACACTTAGTTACCAAGTTTGCAAACTTTTTTCATCTTTATACATTAACACTGTATCTATCAAATGCTGAGCTTTACTTTAATTTACAATTAACAGATTTCTTATTTTTGATTAATGTGATCACTCACTGTGTAATTTCCAGAATGGATAATAATGATTTAAAA